TCCCTCGCTGATCTGCGAGGGAAAAATTCCCTCGCTGATAGTCGTCGCTGATACCTGGTTTTCTAGTAGTGTTGTAGTGACCTAAAAGGCTGAAACGATGACCTAACTGAACTAGTGAACTCTTGGTATGTTAGATGTGACCCGGAGTGGCCAAATTCACTTCGCTAGGACAAAGTAGCCATCGAACCACTTGCTAAGTTAAGTTGTCAAGACGTGAAGGTGTAACATAAAGTATCCAAACACATGTTCCACATAGGTTAGAAGGCTACAAGCCATATGTCACATGCCAAATCGCAACCCAAGTTGTCTTGAACAAATCAACACTGGTTCAATTTGCAAAGGAGAGTAAAGTACACACATATGTGACGTAGAAAAGCACAAGTACTTGGATGCATGTGTAGGTTGTGAATTGTGAGCAAGCAAAAACTAGGTAAGTCTATGGAAGTTTCAAGTGAGTTTCCATGAGATTTTTCTCAATGAAATTCTCATATCTGTTACATTTTTTACTTGTATATGGTATTATTTAACAAATATAATACATTGATTGTTCTTAACGAGTAATCACATGATAATATAGTTAAGAGAAGTTATGATTGAAAATGAACGTCACATGTATTTTATAACATGAACCGTTTTACATCACAATCTAAAATAAGAAGTGTTAGTGTTTTTACAATAATTATACGTACTGGTCGATTAATCTTGATTATGAAACTGACAATCCATATGATCTTAATTTTGGTTTATGTTTTTTTTATTAATTCTTTTTTTTTAATAAGATCTCACACCATTTTCGAATGCCATTAGTACATCTTAGAGGTTGTTTGTTTACCTCTTAATAGTTCTATTAAGAGGCAACATCTGAATCGTTAAGATGTGAATATTGTTTGGCAAAAAAAAAAGTCTGTCTCTTAATGATTTTAAAACCCTCTGACTGATTTTGTATCATGGATTTCCTTTAACCATTAAGAGCGTTAATTTTATTGTACACAATTACCAAACAATTATATTTTATTTTGTATTATATCATAAGAGTCTTTTAATCATTCTGACTACTTAATCACTCTGCACCAAACTATTCAACAATTGTCAAAGGGAATACATTAACCTTCCCCTTAAAAAGTTTTTAAAAGTTATAAAAAAAAGTGGAAATTAAAAAAGAAGGTACAAACATGTTGATGGAATTTATAAGTCAAAATGGTCAAAAAAGGTAGAAGTCAAAAGTCAAGCCATCTGCATAATCAAGAAAATACGATCTGACGGTCCAAATTGTGTAATGCTCTTTCGAAGGATATCATTGGTTATTAAACGATAGACACGGATTGCCATCCTGTACAGCCACCAGATCCAAATTTTAAAATTTCAGATTTTTACCGCTAATTTCCCCGAAATCTCAGCATTATATAATTCCTCAAGAACCGTAGATCACAAAATCATAATCATCCAGCAACAATTTTCGGAGAGCATCCATAATTCTTCTACCGTCTTTTTGTATAATCAAATGGCTCGTACCAAGCAGACAGCAAGAAAATCTACCGGAGGAAAGGCTCCGAGGAAGCAATTGGCCACCAAAGCGGCAAGGAAGTCGGCTCCGGCCACCGGTGGAGTCAAGAAGCCACACAGATTCAGGCCTGGAACCGTCGCTTTGAGAGAGATCAGGAAGTACCAGAAGAGCACTGAGCTTTTGATCAGGAAACTTCCGTTCCAGAGGCTCGTGAGAGAAATCGCTCAGGATTTCAAGACCGATCTACGATTCCAGAGCTCCGCCGTGGCTGCTCTCCAGGAGGCTGCCGAAGCTTACCTTGTTGGACTCTTCGAGGACACAAATCTGTGCGCGATCCATGCTAAAAGAGTCACTATCATGCCTAAGGATATTCAGCTTGCTCGGAGGATTCGTGGTGAGAGGGCGTAGAGTTTGATTTGTAACTTTAACATGTAGATCACAACTGGTTTGGTACTGATCTTTGTGTTCTCATTCTATCTGATTATATTGAATGACAATTTGAATCCTTATAAGATATCGTGTATTCGATTTACAGTTTCACCATATATCAAACTCAAATAAGCTCAACAATCATAGTTATTTTCAAGGATTCATTATCACTTACATTTTGAGGCCTGGTTAGTGCGGCTTATCATATTTGGTTTTTTTTTCTTTCTAGATTGTTATGATTCTCATCATCTCCCTTTTTTGATTGCGAACATACTTTGTTTGATAAATTGCACAAAATCGCCCATTGATTAGTCGTGATCACAATGTGCATACAGCTAGTGTTTGGTTCTTGATTAGTATCCTGATAATGGTAGAACAAGAAGCATATATATGATGTGATTCAAACTCACCATCTTATTACTTTAAATTCAATATGTGAGTACATCTTATCAAGGATTCTCCGTGTAACTAACAACGCATAAACATAATCAAATAAGAATAAACATTTAATTTTAAATATAAAAAAATCAATATATAATTAAGATAATCGTTGAGTAATGACAAAATATTTGATTATTGTTTTTGTAAAAACTCGTATCCAAAAATAAACTAATTTATTATTAAGTATAAATTAAGTTATAATAAAAAAATTGAATTAAATAAATTATAAAAAATGAAAATTTTTAAATAATTAATTTGATATTAATATCTATATAGTTTTTTTCAAAATTTTAAGATATATTTAAGTCTATATTTTATTCAAAAATAAAAACGTTATCGTTTTTTTAAAACCAAATTGTTTTGACAGTTCGATTTGATATACCGTTTAGGATATAGGTTTGTTGGTTTAGATTCTCAAACCATCTATGGATAAAATTATACATGTATTTAAATATTAAACCTCTATATATAATTAAATAAGTATTCATATAGACAAAATAAATATTTAAAACTACAAAATTCCCTATATCCGATTTCTTTCAACTTTTATTGTTTTCTCGTTCTATGTTTTCTCATTCTCTTAACCCTTGATCTCAACAATTGTCGATTGTCTTCTTGCTTTTTATACGATTTCTCTCAACCGTCATCATTTTTTGTTGAATTGTGAATTGATAATATGAATTTCCTGTAGAATTACTCATAGCAATATGGAAAGATTTTTGTCGACTACAATCTATCGGTTCGACTACGGTTAACGTATCAACTCAATTCGTATTTGGGTGTGATAATCATGTGATACGTTAACCCAAAGACGAATCAAGTAGCACACGATTTTCACAAGATATGATTTGTACTTGGGTCCGACTACAATCTTTTCGGCTTGGTTAGGTTCCGCAATCACATGATTACCACAACCCGATTGTGTATAGTTATCACCTAATACGACTGCATTTGTTTGGTATCACAACCCTATCGATTATCACACTGTTATCATACCCAATTGATACAAAACGACTGTGATGCAAAATTTGGTGGTTGTATCAATTAGGTTCATGATTATCATACAATTATCACATGATTATGTCAGTGTTATTATACCCAATTGATACAAAATGACCGTGATGAGAAATTTGGTGGTTGTATCGATTAGGTGTACGATTATCACACTGTTATCATACCCAATGGATACAAGTGATGGAAAATTTGGTGGTTGAATCGAGATTAGGTTCATGATTATCACATTGTTATCAAACCCGATTGATACAAAATGAATGTGATAAAAAATTTAATTTGGTGGTTGAATCGAGATTAGGATCATGATTATCACATTGTTATCATACTCGATTGATACAAAATGAATGTGATGCAATTTTTGGTGGTTGTATCGATTAGGTTCATGGTTATCACACTGTTGTATCAAGAGATTTCGAAACTTCAGATAAGATGGGGATAAAAACATGGAAAGAAGACGATAGACATTCTACTCAACATGATAAATCCAAGCTAAAATGATGGGATAATTCCAAATAATTACAATAAGATAAAAATGATAAAAAAAACCCGATTACATTACTATCCTTAATGACAATTTTTATTTAATATAACTTAAATTATTAGTTAAAAAAATTTGAGACCCACAAGTGTTATCATATTCTCGTAAATCATATAGGTTCTCGTTCATGTGGGTACACCACTAGTATATATACATATATATATATATATATATATATATATACTACATCGTTTGAAAAATTTCAAGCCGCTTTTGTGGTTTGGGTATTGGTTTTGGGAGTTAGATCGCTTATATCTAACCACGAACACTACTATGTTCATCATTTCTAATTTAAAATACAAACCAAGCACCTTTTTACATTCCCATACATGTCGCTTGCAATTGCAGCCATTGACTTGTTACAGAGACGTGTAGCCAACTCGAACTATGAACGGATTGTAGGTACATTTAGCACAAGTCCATGCAACTTTATATCATGTTAAATTCAGAACATTTAAAATTAACATTATAAAACTTATAACGATGAGACACAAATATTATCTATTGAATCCGAATATTAATCCATATATAAATGATCATAAATCAGTGTTTCTTTGCCATCTATTTTGAATATTATAAATTACACATTTAATTTTAAACATCTAATTTATCTTTTCAAGACAACTTATTTTCTATTAAAAAATAAAATAATGGCGGGATCCACAGAAAGTATGCACTACCGCTGTATCGCATACTGTTATCTCATTGGCCAGAAACATACCACGCGGATCGTGATCCGGAGCATTATAATGTCTACTAAACGTCCGATTGCTGTTTGATCGAACGCCTCACATCATCCCCTGAAATTTTCACCAACCTCTGAATTTTTCAAAACTTCCCGCTCATCTAAAACTTCCTCCCATAAATACCCCTATGAACAACATAATCATAATCATCCATAACCATCTTTCATTCTTCGTTCTTCGATATTTTTCTTCTCTAAACGCATTTTCATCCAAATGGCTCGTACTAAGCAAACCGCCAGGAAATCCACCGGAGGAAAGGCTCCTAGGAAGCAACTTGCCACCAAGGCCGCCAGGAAGTCTGCTCCGGCTACTGGAGGTGTGAAGAAGCCCCACAGATTCAGGCCTGGAACCGTCGCCTTGAGAGAAATCAGGAAGTACCAGAAGAGTACCGAGCTTCTTATCAGGAAGCTGCCGTTTCAGAGGTTAGTGAGGGAAATCGCACAGGATTTCAAAACTGATCTGCGTTTCCAAAGCTCGGCTGTCGCTGCTCTCCAGGAGGCTTCTGAGGCCTATTTGGTTGGACTCTTTGAGGACACCAATCTCTGTGCAATTCATGCCAAGAGGGTCACTATCATGCCAAAGGACATGCAACTCGCTCGCAGAATCCGTGGTGAGAGAGCTTAGAGATAGGGTTTCAGTTCGTTTCCCCATGGATAGTTCACCTCTTGTGAAAATCGTGGTAGATCTGGCTTGTTTTCTAGTTTTATGTTTCCTGATTTCAATGTGTAGTAACATATGTTTGGTAAATCGATGTTATCAATGGATTTCAAATGATTATTAACATTCCAGTTCTTCTCTTATGTTCCTAGATCTCATATAAATTCTCGATCCACTCCCCATCCCTTCTAGACATAACAGTTTCTTCTAATTTACAATTGAAGTGAAAAACAATATAAAAAAATCAGTCAAATTTGTTTATTTCATATCTGTATGGTGTTGCAAAATCATAAATTACATACAGGTTGATATATACAAAGGAGACCTATTCAATGCAATGTAAATGTTTTGGTCTAAAACATGAGAACGCATCTCATACCCAATTATTTGGTAGGGAAAAGTCATGGAATCGGAATGATGTTTCACCTGCTGTGTCTCTATCTTGTCTTAACTCTGGAACACTCTGTTGTGTGTCTGTTCCTATTGGCATTACTTGATTTGTAGCTGCTACGTTTGCTGTTTGAGTTTCAGGAGGTAAAGCCAATGCAATTGGTGGATTTGTTTGAGTCCTGAGGTTGGCGTTGCCTAACATGGCCACTTCTTGGTCCCACGCAAATACATGAAGTGATATAGGCACTTTGGCATGGCGGTGCAAAGAGAGCTTTTGGCTAAGAGAAACTGTATCGTAGCATCTTATAGCTCCTTCTGGTGAAACCATCCATGGAAGTACTTTCTGATTTGATATTCTTGAGATCACAAGGTGCTTTCTTGCTCTTTTAGCTTCTGTGTACAAACTGCTTAGACCTGATCGTGATGATGGTGAGTCTTGATCATCTCCAGTAACAGAGGTAACATGAATGAATCCCTGTGAAATTAATCAACTGACACCATCAGCCAAATTGCATAGGGTTAATTGGCTCATAAAATATGTGAAGTCATGGCACTCACCTCTTCTGTCCGACCAATGGCGAATCCAAGCTTTGTGTCACCCTCTTTGATCTTTACTTCAACCGCAATCTCTCCACCAAGAGGAGCAAACCAAAGACGAACGGCTCTGACTACACCAATGTCAACCCCATGGTAATCTTCGAAACCATAGAGACTAACGCTTGCAAGATTCATTAAGTCTGATAACGAGCCAGCGTTTACAGTAGACGAAGCCATTTCTCCAGAAATCTGCCCCAAAAACAGAAAGAACGACCATTAGCATCTTTTAACCCGGAGACACTCACAGTTGACAGGTTTGTTACCTTGGTGAGAAGGGATTCTGTTTGGATGTTCATAAAGAGGATAGGGACCCCAGATGCTTGAGCGGCGGTATGCCAAGCGTTTGCTCTCGAAAGGGTATCCTCCAAGTCGTTGTATCGATGCAGAACCCTTTCGGAGGCTTTTGGAAGGAAGAGAATGGATAGAAAACAGCTGGAATTGGGGATGGAGAGCAGCTCTTGCATTTTCTTTTGCCATGGATATGCAACATATCCATCATGGAGTTGGGCAGCTGCTAGTGCACTCACCATCCTCGAACCCCTTGAAGCTGCAACAATTTGTATCGTGTCCAAAGGTTAGTAACTACAAATTTCCTTCTCCATTCAATTTCAGTTGCTATATCATCAACTGAATAAAAGGTTTTGATATTGCATATGATTTTGTGTTGAATACGGGTATGCAAATGACAATCAAATGATTATTTAAAAGTACAAATTATAAGAAACCATTATTGGGGAACCGGAATATAATAAACAAAGAGATGAATGAATGGGCGTTAAAAAGTCAACGAGGGGAAGACTTTTGGGAATTTGACGAACCTTGCAACGCGTAGCACTCGGTTTCCGTCCGATCCACGAAGCCGACGGTGTAGTTAGGATCAACAATCGACCTCAACATGTACTGCTTCCTACCGCCGGTAGAACCGGTGTTGGGCACAATACAAGCCAGCAACTCAGCGAACTCGTCCGATCCACGCCTGATGCGAACTCGGATAGACGTCTCTTTGGACTTGAATGAGTTATGCAGAATCTTCTGGATTCCGGCGTTGCCGTTCTTGAATGGCGCCGTCATGCTCATGTTTCCGATTTTGATCTCCTCCACGATGTCGCCGGTCTCCAACATGTCGCCGGTCCATTCTTCGGCTTTGGAGCTCCCTTTCAAACATTCCACCGACAACACCACCAGCCGTCCTCGGCTGATTCCCTCGGATCCTGAGTGACTGCTTCCCCATGAACTGGATCGATCCATTGGCATATTTTATTATGATGAGAAAATGGGTTGAAGATGGGGGGCTGAATCATATGAAATCGTGAAATAAAGGTCAAAGGTGGATTAGATGATAATTTATAAGAGCCTTCATATTCAGAAACATCGGACCCTTTTCATATACTTCCCAAATATAATATTCCTTTTCTTTTTACTTTTCAAATATCTAGATTCAACTTTTTAACTCAACAACAATATAATATAATATAATATGGGAATCCAAATTAGTTTACACCATCATCCTTTGTAAAAATTTATATTATTAAATAAAATATAATAAAAAATTGAATTAAATAAATCATTTAAAAAATAAAGACTTTTAAATATATTAATATCGACACATTATCATTTTTCAATTTTTTATAATGTCTTTTTATTTATATTTTATTTTAAAATAAAATTTTTTCTTAAAACCACATGAAACTGTATTGTAACATCGACAAAAAGACGTAAAACAAATAAAACGTTAAAATTGAGATGTATCTTGATGTATTGCACATATATCTATTAAAATTATCATAAAAGAGAAATCTTAATGGTTATTATTCATTTATAAATGAAGATTGAGTAAAAAAGAATGAGTTTTGTGGTAGTGTTGCCTCTTATTAGCTATGATTTTAGCTTATTTATCTTTAGACGGTGATAGTGGCCTCCACATCCACGGTGTTGAATCCCATGCCTGTATTTTTTTCCAATAATATTTCAAAAAATATAATATATAATATTAAGTTTTTTAGAATTAAAATAATCAGATTTATTTATTATAAAAAATGGTGAAACTTTTCTTTTTCTTATAAATTCTACCATTGACTAACGCTAACAAAGTATTTCTCTTTCATATTGTTCATAACTTAGAAATGACCAAACATATATAAGAAGACTAAAAAATAGAAAAATTAAAAGTATTTCTTTATTTATGAAATATTACCGTCTTCGTAATATTTAAAATTTGAATATAATTTTATCAAACGTATTGTTTTAAAATAATGTTAACAAATATATATATATATATATATATATATATATATATATAGAGGGTGGTTCAAATACTAACTCAATATTTTGTGCAAACTTTGCTAACCCACATCAACCAATAATGTTGCATCTTTGGGTTTGGTTAAAATGTAACTTACATATTAATGATAAGGGTATTTAGGTCATTAGTCATTCTTATGT